TATTGCTAGACCGACTGCCATGGCTGATAGCTTGAATTTCTTCCAAACTCACTCACAGAACACAGAGAAATTAAGTTCAAAGTTGTAGATAGTAAGACAAAAATAAGCTGTCACCCTTGACTTCAATGACTTGTAGAGATCAATCAATTGAACGTGGACTTTATAGTAGCATGTGGGGTTGAACATGGAAGATGAGAACTTGGAGTCTTATGACTAGTATTTTACTTGTTGAACAGATTAGACAAGAGAGAAATAATAGAAAGAATATGTGATCACAATCTTCATCATTAAAGGAGAATTGCATTAATTTGGAACGATAAATTGAGAAAGAAAAGATTCATGTAATGAATGATCTTTGCTTTACATTGGATAGAGTTAACTTAACGATTATCCTTCTATTTCTAATATGACTGGCTAGCAGGCACCAGCTGTAAGATACTTGGCTTTTTTGAAGCAGAAATAGTAAAAAAAAAAAATTGCAAATTGACCTTTCAATGTATTAATTTTGAGTTTCATGGTTCTTGCATCTCAGTCTCTCCATCCACTTCCCCCACAATTCTTTTCAAAACCAATGCACCTCCACACGTTATCATCTGTTCAGTGGAATATTTTTAGTCTCTGGTAAAAGAAAGTACACAAATGAGGTCATCAGCACCACCCATCCTCAAGAAGAAGAAAATCCCTGACTTGAAGTGACAAAGCATGGCTAGAAATGTCTGTGCAACAATAGAAGTAAAGAGAAAACACACTGCACAGATATCTCTGCCCTGCTGATCTGATCTCCAAGGCAAAATCTCACTTGGAACCACCATCCCAATGGCCCCCATGACCACCCAAATCCAGCCAAATATGCATTCAGAACTAAGACTATATAAGCATACCCTTTGCTCAATCCACCATGATCACCTAGCTGAGTTGCCATAATCCCTCCACGATTATATGTGACACAAACATTTGGATCTCCCCAACTAAAGCAATACTCTCGTCCAAGTTTATCGACTACAAGCATCGATATGAATGTTGATCCTGTAGCCATGAGGCTGTTACAATTGTGGACATGAGCGATGCACTTTCACCTAGACCAACCGTCCTGAACAATATTGGAGCATAGAACGCTATGACAGTAATACCTGTAACTTGTGTAAAAATGCATGGCTATTGCCATTACTAGTTGGGGCCTGATTTTCTTCGTATGATTTTCTGAAATGGTGTTAACAGTTTTTGAGATTGAGTTTGCTCGTATTAAATCATCAAGTTCTGCTTGGACATCAGCAGTGCCTCGTACACGTTGCAGCATCAGTTTGGCCTTTTGGTGATCGTTGCTGCGTTGGATAGACATTAGGCGTATCTGGAAGGAAGATCGCCACCTAATGTTAGCATTGAAGCGGGGACTGCCGCCATTGCTAGGGAAATTCTCCAACCCCAACCACCCTTGATCTTCTGAGTAACATAGTTAACAAGGTTAGCTGACAACGCCCCAACTGCAACGCAGAGTTGGAAGCCATTGTTGATTGCACCTCTGTGTCTTGGTGGTGCCATTTCTGAGAGATAAACTGGTACTGACTGCAGAAAAAAATACATGGAGAATTAATGTTGTGTCAAACTTGTATAGATCGTTAAAAAAACAAACACCAAACCGACCTGATTGGCAAAACCAACTCCAATTCCAAGCAAGACACGCCAAATATGAGCATATACGCGTTAAAAGCGGCACCACCGAGGGCTGAACCAGCAAGGAATGCTGTACCTCCGATCAATATTGTGACTTGCGGCCAAGGGCTCTAGTGACTGAGGATGCAAAGAATGAGGCACAAGGCCAGCACATAGAGGGAAGATGTGAAGGCGGTTAATAGTTGGCTATCAAATCTGCAGTAGTTACTAATCTTTGCGTCTTCTTTCATTTTTGTGTTTCACTTCTGGGAAGAATTTCTCTAGAAATGGCTCATAGAGGTCACTCCACCTTTATGTTCCCAACTCAATATGATTACTTTACTTAAATATAATTTGTAAGTGCTTTTATCAATATTATAATCATATAAAATGTGTTTGAAATTTCATTGTTTAGTTACAAAGAGAAATGAAGATAAAAATAACAAAACCTGAAATTCCAATGTCATAGCCATAAATAACTCCCCCATGGAAGCCACCATACAAGAAAAGACAAGAAATGGAGTCATCTTCCCACTATTGTCCATGCACAACTTCAGGTTTTGGTAACTCTGGTGCCATGACTGCAGCTTGATATTGATCTTCCAACTCATATACAGTGGAAGGAGAGAGTTCAAAGTTTCAGACAATAATTAAACAGTTTAAAGAAGCAGTCTTTCTTGATTGTGGCTGTGAATAGCAAGTGGGATTGAGTTGAAGTGAACATGGAACATAAGAAGTTTGGCGGTTTCATGAGCTAGCTTCACTTAACGACAAGTAATACCACATTAGAGTAAACGACTTTTTCCCACCCAAGTTTTGCCTCAATGACCTTTCCCACCCAAAAGTTTCAAAACACTCACACCAAAAACTCATCGCATCCCCTCGTCACTTTTCCACCCAAAGTTATATTCCGTTTACCACCTAGAATACACTTTCCGATTCAACGGCCAATAGAGCGCAAACTCCATCCAAGATATTGGGGCTTTTGAAGAGGGGATGCCGGTGAGTCTTTTGTGGTCGAGATTGCTCAGAATCTGACTTGGAGGGGCAGTTGGGCGTTTACAAAATACTTGATTTTTTACGATTAGAGGGTTGACGGGAGCAAGGTTTGAGATGTTTTGATGATTGTCGGGGAAGAGAATGGTGGTGGTGTAGGGTCGCAAAAATGTCGGAATCGGCCAAGATTAGTCATAATATAAACTTTGGGTGGAAAAATGGTATTTTAAAACTTTTTGGGCGAAAAAGTATCATTAAGGCAAACCTTGCGTGGGAAAAAGTCGTTTACTCTACTACATATCACTAATTAATTCAAACCATTTATACTTGCTGTGCTGGTTCAATTGGAAATGTTGAAAATTGCGTTTTGGATTTTAGGTGTTGACATTGCGCTAAGCCTTAAATATGTTCAAATGGGCTCAGTTGAAATGGACAACCCATAAGGTAATGGCTTAAGCTATACCTGTATGGGCTCGTTTGCCACTCCATCAAATGGTCCAGCCCATTGTTTTTTGTTTAGTCAACATCTTGCCATGCATACTCCATGTTTAAAGATCCTTAATTCGTCACCATTAGAAAAAACTTCCTTCTGTTTTACAAATTAGAAACAACAAATGAACATCAATCAAATGAATTTTTTACTCGTTGTAGATATTTATAATTCAAATTATAATAAACGAATAAATTTATAACAATGAATAATAAAGGAGATATTTTAGTTACAAGATATTTAAAGCTCAATAACAAGATATTCATATTGGAAAATCATCCAAGTTTAAATAAAGAATAAGATTGATTCCGCAAAGGCTTTTGTAATAATATGTAAATGTTAGACCGAATAATATGTTTAGAAAAGTATCAAAATTTTGTTTTTAAAGAATAATAATAATAAAAAAGCTTAAAATTTGTCCTCACACATTGTTCATTTGTAAGCATAGAAAGGTACAAGTACACAGAATATATAATGTGGAAAGCTTAGGTAATTTAAGCCGTCCAACTTTAATTTCATATAATGTTCCTTTTAATATTATAATTTAATTCTAATATTCTATTAATGTATAACAATCTTAACATAACTTAACAAAATATGTTAACGACAAGTTCCCACAAAAAAGGTTCATTGACACTTTCCCACCCTCCAAGTTTTAAATAACCTTTTACTACTCAATTAGGGGTGAACGGTTCCAAGTGCCCGCATTGTCTGGGGAAACCTGATAGGCCACGACGTTGGGATGAGTTAGGACGTGCATGCAACGTAGATAGTAGACGAAGTCCATACAGAAATAGACTGGGTCGTGGCAGCTTACGTGCAAAGGAATGCAGTTTACTCATCCGTAGTTGCAAGTTTTACGTCATTTTATTTCAGTTTGTTATTGTTATGTTCTTACTCTCTGTTATGTGTTTGAGTTCTGTTTTACGTGCTTGAGTTCCAGTTGCTAGTTTCCTTTCATTTTCGGTTGTTTGTACGTGGCTTTGCTTATTTAAGCAGCCAAGGTTATTAATGAAGCCAGGCAAAAATTATCCGAACTATTGTGGTACTTTCTCACTCGAAGAGACACACAAGTTATCTTAGCATTGTGTACACAGTGCGTTTTGGGACCTATCATTGGTATCAGAGCCAGGTTGTTAGGGAACCAATAAGAGAGTGTTGAGCAGTTGGAGGATGGGCTCGGTGAAGTGCAAGATGAGCTACACCAGATGGAGCTCGACATGGCGGATAGGCTACGACATTTGGAAGAAACTTTAACCGTCTCTCTAATGTACTCCTTGACCAAGAGCCTCCAAACCAAGGTAACCCACATCGTGAAGCCACAATGGGGGATGGCTTGTTGTATCCTCCAAAATGGCAAAATTGAGTTTCTTAGATTCTTCGAGATGACCCGACAGACTGGTTCAACCGTGTGAACCAATTTTTTGAATTCCAGAATACTTCCGAAACCCAGAAAGTTTGCTTACCTCTTACCAATTAAAAGGAAAGGCAACCAATGGTGGGCAGTGGATCCGAAAGACATTCCAAGAAGAAGGACGTGCTTCTCATGGGCTGATTTTTAAGATGAGCTCTGGCATGCTTTGGGCTGTCGGAGTCCGAGGATTTTGATGAAGCCCTTTCGAGGATACAGCAGGATGGTTCATTGCGTGCTTATCAGTGGGAATTCGAGTTCTTGGGCAATCGCGTACGAGGTCACGCAAGAGCTCTTGGGGGAAATCTTAGAGACATCAAATTTCCTTGTCCTTGGCGAAGTTGCAGAACAGGAAACAGCAACTCTATAAAAGCAACACAAGTTTGAAATGGAATCAAACTGATCTTGTAGTAATCTCATACTATTTTAGCTTCTCTCCTGATTTTCAATAAGATGGAGAACAAAAAGGGATGTTTCAAGCTTTTTGGTGTTATTATTTCAGAGCAAAATCAACATCAGAATATACAAAACAACGTTACCAATTCGAATTCGGAGACTTCTGCAGAAGACAAAGCTGAGGTTGAAGTGATTGAAGCTCATCCGAGGAAACGCAAAGCGGCACGTGCGACGCAAATTAAAGGTATATATGATTGACAAGATTTGTGATTGGATTGAAGACAGAGAATGGTAGTAGTGGTGACTTATATGTTTGTGTTATTTTGGATGAATTAATCAGTCAAGAGATGGACGGAGGAGGAACATCAAAAGTTTTTGAGTGGTCTGAAATATTGCGGAAGAGGAGATTGGAAAGGAATTTCAAAGTTCTTTGTGCCCACCAGGACACCAACGCAGGTTGCTAGTCATGCTCAGAAGTATTTTATTTCACAGGCTTCAACTGACCGGAGGAATTTTAGACCAAGCATCTTTGATTTGTCACTCAACCAATCTGTAATTTTTCTAACTCTAATTCTCTTACATTGATGCGTACGCTAATAAGGAATCATGGTATTTGTTTATTCATATTTTAGTATACAATTATGCTCACACAGAAGAATCAACAGAGCAGAAGTCGACTGTGTTTGATCATAAATTGTAGTATTAATCGGTGTCAATTTATGATCAAACCACTTGTACTAAATTTCTGAATTTTTACAGGTACAACCTCCCAGAAAAGATAAATGGCTTCCAGGAAGTAGTAACGCGCCATCGTTGTTGCCGTCGCCGTCGCCGTCACCATCACCATCACCATCATGTGTCGAGGCATCGAGCCATCTGAGATCAGCTTATGCACTCATGCCTATACCCTGGCTGACTATGCATTTGCCATAGTTACTCCTTCAACTTCAACGCCTAACTATAATTGAAAGGCTTAATAGTAGATACATTTTTGTTTTGGATTTCTAAAGTTGTACAATCAGAATTAGTAATTTCATTATTCTGTTCTATAAATATACATATAGAGTTTATACAATTAATTGAGAAGTAGATTAGAAATAAATGCGTAGACTTTGGAATTGGACTATTTTTAATACTATGGATAAACAGGATATGGAAAGAGATGATGTTAAAGAAAAAAAGAAAGGTGAGCAACAAAAATTTCAAGCTTTGACTAATTGACTTCAATTAATTTTTCATTCTTTTATTTAACAACACTTCCATTGCCGGGGAGGGACCAACAGAGGCTGAATATTAGAACACCATTTCAAGTTTGAAATTAATTAAATAGCCATAAAGTTTCTAATGCAATATCTCTTAAGCGATTTAAACATATTATTTAAGAGATAAGTTTATAGATAAACCTACATCTCTTAAGCGATAAGCTTATATCACTTAAGAGATGGTTATTTAATAAAAAGTTTCAAACTACGTAGCTTTTTAATTCATTTCAAACTTGAATTGGTATTTTAATCAAATTTTTCGGTTTATTTGTGCTTGTTCGGAGTTGGGTCTATGGTAAAATCAAATCAAATATTGATTATCTATTTAAAATTTCATTACATAAATGATCATATCTTATCTAGATAATCTTATAAAAAATGTGAAGTCAATTGGCTGCCTTAAATATTTTTCTTTTTGTGTAACTATTATAAATATTAAATAATTTACGGATGTATCAAATTAACTTCATTCTAAAAATATCTATTAATGTCATAATCATGTTTAATTGAGATATATATTAAGTTAATCTGAAATCCTTTTACGTCCTTCGAGGAGTAAATGTCTATAGTTATATTTTTAATGTTAAACATGTTTAACAAACATGAATATGGATATGAAATTACTTAAAATAAGAAGAGAAATCTAAAAAAAGAAGAATTTAATTATTTATTAAGGTTCTTAATAAAGTTATATAAATAATAAATAAAAATTTGTTGTTTCTAATAATTTTAACTTTATTTGATATATTAGAGCAAGATTTCTATAAATTTTAGCCTTAGCCCAAAATGCCATAAGAAAAATTTATTATAACATAAATTTCAAATATTTATTTAATAGGGTGAAAAATTGAGCTTTGATTTATCCATTTTTAATTCATTTACGTATTTTTATTTTCCAATTATAGTGCATATATAGCCTAATTTTAACCCAAAGAGTATTAATATTAAGCTAGGTGAATATATATAATAATCAATGCTGAGAGAAAAATATTCCTAAGTTCCATATAACAAAAGATTTTCGAGAGCAGAATATATGATATTTCATGCCGAAAAGGAAATAAATATATACAAGGAGACAAAATACCAATTAGGGAGACAATTCAGTTGTCTTAAAAACTTTTTAATTTCTCTTCCAATCTATCTCTTTGTGTGAAAACACGAAACATGGTGAAGGAAACAGCAAGAACTGGTTCTCATTGTGGCCAGAATGGCCACAACTCAAGAACTTGTAATGCAAAGGGTTGTGTTAAACTATTTGGTGCTAATATTCATGTTCATCCTGAGAGAGATGAAGTTGATAGGAAAAAGGGCATTTTAAGATGTTGAAGTTTTTATATATATTGTTTTCGATCTTAAAGATGATATTTGAGAATTTATAGTTTTGTTTCTAACTTGTATATATTTAGGAGAGCCATGGCCGAAGGAAGAACACCAACGCTTTTTAATGGCGTTGAAAAAGGTTGGGAGAGGAAATTGGAAAAAGATTTCAATGGAATACGTGCACACCAAAACCCCAATGCAAATTGCTAGTCATGCTCAGAAATATTTTCTCAGACAAGCTTTAACTAATGAGAAGAAAAGTAGGTTCTTGGAAGCATATGGTTTAATTAAATTGATGAGGTGTATCGCCTCTGACAATTTTAATGCTTGGAGAGCTTCACCAATGTCAATGTCACTGCAAACCGCTGCTTCTACATCTTCAAATGCAAGAGATGACGATTCTCCCGACCTTCAAATTGGACTGCCTCAATCCTCCCATCAAAACTAGGTTTATTTTATTATACCTCTTTGACCATTTGAACGTTTATTTTACTAATTATTTTGGTATTTGTTATTAGAATCATCTCATATTATATTATGACTTATCGGCTTTAACTTTTCAATAAGATGGTTCAGAAATATTTTTCCAATAAACACTTGTGCATGCATGTGGTAATCTCTGCTTATTTTGTACAATTTCAGAGCTATATGCTGGCTGACTGGAATTTAAGTGTTATTTTTAATGGTATTATTATATTAAATAATTAATTATTACACCTCGAATTTATGGTTAATTTGTGAATTGGTATATTATAAAAAATATATGTTAATTAAAATGATATTATTATCATAATTTTAACTATTTTATGGTCCAATAAAGAAAACCACATAAATGTTTCAGTATTTAACAATGAACAAAGATTGAGACTTATGTAACTATTGTGAATTCGCGTAAACATATAATTTATCAAGCTTAATAATATGTGAAGCAAATCACCAATTATACACACAAAAAAAAAAAAAAAAAAAAAAAACAATAATTTAATGTGATTCGGCGTAAAACTTTCATACACTGATAGCAGAAAGAATAATATATTGATATCTTTGTATAGTATAGGAAAGTATCAGATTTTAGTTTACATAGAAGTGAGGTATTTTCTTGTCTCACATTAACTATAATGTTTATTTTTTATGGTTTTAGTTTAATGGTTTGGTTTTTGAAAATAAAAATGTGGTTGAAGTTGAATTAAAAGAAATTAGAAGTAGTAATGGAAATTGATTTCAGGAAAAAATTGAATAGTGTGAGCACGAGTGGAGGGCGCACGGTAAATTTAGAAATTCTAAGGGAACCTTTTGATATTTTACTGATCCACCGGGGATGATCGAAAAATATTAGTACAATGTAAATTATCGCATAAGCCCCTATACTTGGAAATATTAACATTCTAATTCTATTTTTTTAAAATACTTTTATTCATGTTAAAAGACTATAAAATCCATCCTAAACACATAAACACCATTATATATAACAAATCAATACAAAATAACAAATTTACTTATTCTTATTCCCTCAACTTCAACGCCTAACTATAATTGAAGGGCTTAATAGTAGATACATTTTTGTTTCGGATTTCTAAAGTTGTATAATCAGAATTAGTAATTCCATTATTCTGTTCTGTAAGTATACAGACAGAGTTTATACAATTAATTGAGAAGTAGATTAGAAATAAATGCGTAGACTTTGGAATTGGACTATTTTTTAGTACTATGGAATACGGATAAACAAGATAGGGAAAGAGATCATGTTAAAGACACAAAAAAAGTGAGCAACGGAAATTTCAAGCTTTGACTAATTGACTTCAATTAATTTTTCATTCTTTTGTTTAACAACACTTCCATGCCGTTGCGGAGGAGGGATGAAATATGTGATACCAAATTTAGTGACGAACCGGGCGGGTTATTAAAATATCATTTCAAATTTAAAATGAATTAAATAACCATGAAGTTTCTAATACAATATCACTTAAGCGATTTAAACATATTGATTAAAAGATAAGTTTATATATAAGATTATATCACTTAAGCGATAAACTTATATTGCTTAAAAGATGATCATTTAGTATAGAATTTCAAACTTTATGACTTTTTAATTCATTCCAAAATTGAAATGATATTTTAATCAAATTTTTCGGTTTTTATTTCTGTTTGTTTGGAGAACGGTGGAGCCGGGCTGTGGTAAAATAAATTAATAAAATCAAATATTGATTATCTATTTAAAATTTCTTTAGGTAAATTACCATATCTTATCTAGATAATCTTATAAAAAATGCAAAGTCAATTGGTGCCTTAAATATTTTTCTTTTTGTGTAACTATTATAAATATTAAATATTTTACGGATGTATCAAATTAACTTCATTCTAAAATTATCTATTAATGTCATAATCAAGTTTAATTGTGTTATATCAAGTTAATATGAAATCCTTTTACGTCCCTCGAGGAGTAAATGTTTTATAGTTATGTTTTTAATGTTAAGCATTTTTAACAAACATGAATATGGATATGAAATTACTTAAAACAAGAAGAGAAACTTAAAAAAATATTAATTTAAGTATTTATTAAAGTTCTTAATAAAAATATATAAATAATAATTAAAATTTTTTAGCATAATTTGTTGTTTCTAATCATTTTAATTTTATATTAGAGAAAGATTTCTTTAAATTTTAGCCTTAGCCCAAAATTCCATAAGAAAAATTTATTATAACATAAATTTCAAAGATTTATTTACTAGGGTGAACAATTGAGATTTATTTATCCAATTTTTAATTCATTTACATATTTTTATTTTCCAATTATAGTGCATATATATCCAAATTTTAAATAATTTTTTTTTATCTTAATAATAGGGTTACCGAAAAGAAATACTACATTTTATCTTGATAATAACTGCAGCCCCTCCAAAGGCTGAACCAGCGAGAAAGGCGACGCCTCCAGCCAAGATGGAGGGCTTGCGGCCAAAGGCTCTGGTGACGGAAGATGCAAAGAAGGAAGCGATAAGACGAGCAACATAGAGAGAAGATGTGAAAGAGGTCAACAGTCGGCTTTCAAATTTGCAGTAGTTGCTGATCTTTGTGTCTTCTTTCATCTTCGTGTATACTTCCGGGAAAAAATTCTTCAGAAATGATTCCACTGAGGCAACTCCACCTTCATAATGTTCTTAATCAGGTTCATCTTGCCAAGATAATATGACTAACATTTTGACACTAATTGTGTGTAATTCATTGATTCAAATTCAACTCTCCAGTCTGCACCAATACAAATACAATTAAAAGATGGAAAGAGATAAGAGTGGCATATTTTAAATGGTCCTAATGAGAAACAGACAAGGGGCCTTCTAGTTTTATGTTTGTTTCTCCGTTTTCTGAGACTTCTGGAAATTGGGGGTGTGCCAAACCGGATATCGGATCCGGATTCCTGTTTTCTGATCCGATCCGAATTTTTGGATATCCCCTTTTTTTGCAGAGTCTTTCCGAAAATCCGTATCTTTTAAAATTGCAATCCGAATACGGTCTGAACTTCCGCATATCCGGTTTTTTTTTTTGTCAGATCAGATATGGATCGGATGTTGGATATCAGATTTTTTTTTGCACACCCCTACTGAAAGTAACATTACAGTTTCTGAGTTTTAAGTTCTAACAATTGGCAAGTGCTTAAATCTTCTCAAGTATTGTCAACTGTTTCTTCTGTGCTATCACATTTTTACTAATCTATGTCTATGTAGTCCATAATTTATTTTATTTCTTGTTATATTTTCAGAATTACGTTTGTATCTTAATGATAGGTAGAGTCTGCAAAGAAGTTTTGGCACATAAAAAATTATATGAATGCGTGTTGGTTTCTATCCTTTCAAGATATTTGGTGTTTATTAATATAGCATGTATCAGATAAGATGCCAGGTCAACATAAAAAGAAGCTGGAGGCTAAGTGCAGTCTAGAAACAATGGATGCCAAAGGAAAACTGAAAAATTAAAGGTGAAGGATTTAAAGAGACAAAACCTGAAATTCCAATATCATAGCCAAAAATAAATCCTCCCATGGCAGCCATCATAAAGATAAGACAACAAATAGAGTCATTTTGCCACTGAAGTTATTGCTAGACCGACTGCCATGGCTGATAGCTTGAATTTCTTCCAAACTCACTCACAGAACACAGAGAAATTAAGTTCAAAGTTGTAGATAGTAAAGACAAAAATAAGCTGTCACCCTTGACTTCAATGACTTGTAGAGATCAATCAATTGAACGTTGGACTTTATAGTAGCATGTGGGGTTGAACATGGAAGATGAGAACTTGGAGTCTTATGACTAGTATTTTACTTGTTGAACAGATTAGACAAGAGAGAAATAATAGAAAGAATATGTGATCACAATCTTCATCATTAAAGGAGAATTGCATTAATTTGGAAACGATAAATTGAGAAAGAAAAGATTCATGTAATGAATGAATCTTTGCTTTACATTGGATAGAGTTAACTTAACGATTATCCTTCTATTTCTAATATGACTGGCTAGCAGGCACCAGCTGTAAGATACTTTGGCTTGTTTTGAAGCAGAAATAGTAAAAAAAAAAAATTGCAAATTGACCTTTCAATGTATTAATTTTGAGTTTCATGGTTCTTGCATCTCAGTCTCTCCATCCACTTCCCCCACAATTCTTTTCCAAAACCAATGCACCCTCCACACGTTATCCATCTGTTCAAGTGGAATATTTTTAGTCTCTGGTAAAAGAAAGTACACAAATGAGGTCATCAGCACCACCCATCCTCCAAAGAAGAAGAAAATCCCTGACTTGAAGTGACAAAGCATGGCTAGAAATGTCTGTGCAACAATAGAAGTAAAGAGAAAACACACTGCAACAGTAATACTCTGCCCTGCTGATCTGATCTCCAAGGGCAAAATCTCACTTGGAACCAACCATCCCAATGGCCCCCATGACCACCCAAATCCAGCCACAAATATGCATATCAGAACTAAGACTATATAAGCATACCCTTTGCTCAATCCACCATGATCACCTAGCTGAGTTGCCATAATCCCTCCAACGATTATATGTGACACAAACATTTGGATCTCCCCAACTAAAAGCAATACTCTTCGTCCAAGTTTATCGACTACAAGCATCGATATGAATGTTGATCCTGTAGCCATGAGGCTGGTTACAATTGTGGACATGAGCGATGCACTTTCACCTAGACCAACCGTCCTGAACAATATTGGAGCATAGAACGCTATGACTGTAATACCTGTAACTTGTGTAAAAAATGGCATGGCTATTGCCATTACTAGTTGGGGCCTGTATTTTCTTCGTATGATTTTCTGAAATGGGTATTTAACAGTTTTTGAGATTGAGTTTGCTCGTATTAAATCATCAAGTTCTGCTTGGACATCAGCAGTGCCTCGTACACGTTGCAGCATCAGTTTGGCCTTTTGGTGATCGTTGCTGCGTTGGATTAGACAATTAGGCGTATCTGGAAGGAAGATCGCACCTAATGTTAGCATTGAAGCGGGGACTGCCGCCATTGCTAGGGAAATTCTCCAACCCCAACCACCCTTGATCTTCTGAGTAACATAGTTAACAAGGTTAGCTGACAACGCCCCAACTGCAACGCAGAGTTGGAAGCCATTGTTGATTGCACCTCTGTGTCTTGGTGGTGCCATTTCTGAGAGATAAACTGGTACTGACTGCAGAAAAAAATACATGGAGAATTAATGTTGTGTCAAACTTGTATAGATCGTTAAAAAAACAAACAACCAAACCGACCTGATTGGCAAAACCAACTCCAATTCCAAGCAAGACACGGCCAAATATGAGCATATACGCGTTAAAAGCGGCACCGCCGAGGGCTGAACCAGCAAGGAATGCTGTACCTCCGACCAATATTGATGACTTGCGGCCAAGGGCTCTAGTGACTGAGGATGCAAAGAATGAGGCCACAAGGCCAGCAACATAGAGGGAAGATGTGAAGGCGGTTAATAGTTGGCTATCAAATCTGCAGTAGTTACTAATCTTTGCGTCTTCTTTCATTTTTGTGTTCACTTCTGGGAAGAATTTCTCTAGAAATGGCTCCATAGAGGTCACTCCACCTTTATGTTCCCAACTCAATATGATTACTTTACTTAAATATAATTTGTAAGTGCTTTTATCAATATTATAATCATAGTAAAATGTGTTTGAAATTTCATTGTTTAGTTACAAAGAAGAAATGAAGATAAAAAATAACAAAACCTGAAATTCCAATGTCATAGCCATAAATAACTCCCCCCATGGAAGCCACCATACAAGAAAAGACAAGAAATGGAGTCATCTTCCCACTATATTGTCCATGCACAACTTCAGGTTTTGGTAACTCTGGTGCCATGACTGCAGCTTGATATTGATCTTCCAAACTCATATACAGTGGAAGGAGAGAGTTCAAAGTTTCAGACAATAATTAAACAGTTTAAAGAAGCAGTCTTTCTTGACTTGTGGCTGTGAATAGCAAGTGGGATTGAGTTGAAGTTGAACATGGAACATAAGAAGTTTGGCGGTTTCATGAGCTAGCTTCACTTAACGACAAGTAATACCACATTAGAGTAAACGACTTTTTCCCACCCAAGTTTTGCCTCAATGACCTTTCCCACCCAAAAAGTTTCAAAAACACTCACCACCAAAAACTCATCGGCATCCCCTCGTCACTTTTCCACCCAAAGTTTATATTCCGTTTACCACCTAGAATACACTTTCCGATTCAACGGCCAATAGAGCGCAAACTCCATCCAAGATATTGGGGCTTTTGAAGAGGGGATGCCGGTGAGTCTTTTGGTGGTCGAGATTGCTCAGAATCTGACTTGGGAGGGGCAGTTGGGCGTTTTACAAATAACTTGATTTTTTACGATTAGCAGGGTTGACGGGAGCAAGGTTTGAGATGTTTTGATAAGTGATTGTCGGGGAAGAGAATGGTGGTGGTGTAGGGTCGCAAAAATGTCGGAATCGGCCAACGATTAGTCATAATATAAACTTTGGGTGGAAAAATGGTATTTTAAAACTTTTTGGGCGAAAAAGTATCATTAAGGCAAACCTTGCGTGGGAAAAAGTCGTTTACTCTACTACATTATCACTAATTAATTCAAACCATTTATACTTGCTGTTGCTGGTTCAATTGGAAATGTTGAAAATTGCGTTTTGGATTTTAGGTGTTGACATTGCGCTAAGCCTTAAATATGTTCAAATGGGCTCAGTTGAAATGGACAACCCCATAAGGTAATGGGCTTAAGCTATACCTGTAGTGGGCTCGTTTGCCACTCCATCAAATGGTCCAGCCCATTTGTTTTTTGTTTAGTCAACATCTTGCCATGCATACTCCATGTTTAAAGATCCTTAATTCGGTCACCATTAGAAAAAACTTCCTTCTGTTTTACAAATTAGAAACAAAAATGAACATCAATCAAATGAATTTTTTACTCGTTGTAGATATTTAATAATCAAAATTATAATAAACGAATAAATTTAATAACACATGAATAATAAAGGAGATATTTTAGTTACAAGATTATTTAAAGCTCAATAACAAGAATATTCATATTGGAAAATCATCCAAGTTTAAATAAAGAATAAGATTGATTCCGCGAAAAGGCTTTTGTAATAATATGTAAATGTAGACCGAATAATATGTTTAGAAAAGTATCAAAATTTTGTTTTTAAAGAATAATAATAATAAAAAGCTTAAAATTTGTCCTCACACATTGTTCATTTGTAAGCATAGAAAGGTACAAGTACAACAGATAATATATAATGTGGAAAGCTTAGGTAATTTAAGCCGTCCAACTTTTAATTTCATATAATGTTACCTTTTTAATATCTATTAATTTAATTCTAATATTCTATTAATGTATAACAATCTTAACATAACTTAACAAAATAGTTAACGACAAGTTCCCACCCAAAAAAAGGTTCATTGACACTTTCCCACCCTCCAAGTTTTAAAATAACCTTTTACTACTCAAATTAGGGGTGAACGGTTCCAAGTGCCCGGCATTGTCTGGGGAAACCTGATAGGCCACGACGTTGGGATGAGTTAGGACGTGCATGCAACGTAGATAGTAGACGAAGTCCATACAGAAATAGACTGGGTCGTGGCAGCTTACGTGCAAAAGGAAATGCAGTTTACTCATCCGTAGTTGCAAGTTTTACGTCATTTTATTTCAGTTTGTTATTGTTATGTTCTTACTCTCTGTTTTATGTGTTTGAGTTCTGTTTTACGTGCTTGAGTTCCAGTTGCTAGTTTCCTTTCATTTTCGGTTTGTTTGTACGTGGCTTTGCTTATTTAAGCAGCCAAAGGTTATTAATGAAGCCAGGCAAAAATTATCCGAACTATTGTGGTACTTTCTCACTCGAAGAGAACACAAGTTATCTTAGCATTTGTACACAGTGCGTTTGGGACCTATCATTGGTATCAGAGCCAGGTTGTTATGGGAACCAATAAAGAGCGTGTTGAGCAGTTGGAGGATGGGCTCGGTGAAGTGCAAGATGAGCTACACCAGATGGAGCTCGACATGGCGGATAGGCTACGACATTTGGAAGAAACTCTTAACCGTCTCTCTAATGTACTCCTTGTAGACCAAGAGCCTCCAAACCAAGGTAACCCACATCGTGAAGGCCACAATGGGGGATGGCTTGTTGTATCCTCCAAAATGGCAAAATTGAAGTTTCTTAGATTCTTCGGAGATGACCCGACAGACTGGTTCAACCGTGTGAACCAATTTTTTGAATTCCAGAATACTTCCGAAACCCAGAAAGTTTGCTTAACCTCTTACCAATTAAAAGGAAAGGCCAACCAATGGTGGCAGTGGATCCGCAAGACATTCCAAGAAGAAGGACGTGCTCTCTCATGGGCTGATTTTTAAGATGAGCTCTGGGCATGCTTTGGGCTGTCGGAGTCCGAGGATTTTGATGAAGCCCTTTCGAGGATACAGCAGGATGGTTCATTGCGTGCTTATCAGTGGGAATTCGAGTGCTTGGGCAATCGCGTACGAGGTTCACGCAAAGAGCTCTTGTGGGAACATTTATGGGTGGCTTAAAAACGGACATTTCGGATCGTATCCGAATGTTTAAGCCTCAGACATTAAAGGATGTTATTAGCTTAGCGCGAATGAAAGAGGATCAACTATTGAGACAGGAAACATGTGTACATCCTCCACCACCAATGAGAGCCCCGTTAGCTCTTCCGCCACCGCACATGCAACTCCTATTCGGCGACTGACTTGGGATGAAATGCAACGGAGGCGAGCTCAAGGCCTATGTTTTAATTGTAATGAGCATTTTACTGTAGGTCACCTGTGTCAAGGGCCACGACTACTCATGCTGGAAGGACACGATGGCAACGACAACATAATTTGTGAAGATGTCAAGGGAGAGCAACCAACTCAGGAGGGGTGTGTCATTCGAAATCGACAACATGGTACTTTTGAAGCGCACCATACCAGCAGCAACAAACCTACAAACAGGTCCAAGTCCACAAAAATGGCTAGACGAAAAAGCTCCTGGAAATATTTCCAACTGTGGACCTTGAGGACAAGGATCCACTTGATGGGAGAGAATTGATAGGCCACGATGTTGGGATGAATTAGGACATGCATGCAACGTAGATAGTAGACAGAGTCCATGCAGAAATGGACTGGGTCGTGGCAGTTTACGTGCAGAAGGAAATGCAGTTTACTCATCCGTAGTTGCAAGTTTTATGTCATTTATTTCAGTTTTTTATTGCTATGTTGTTATGCTCTGTTTTATGTGTTTTGAGTTCTATTTTACGTGTTTGAGTTCAGTTGCTAGTTTCCCTTCACTTTCGATTTGTTTGTACGCAGCTTTGCTTATTTAAGCAGCCAAAGGTTATCAATGAAGTCAGGCAAAAATTATCCGAACTATTGTGGTACTTTCTCACCCGAAGAGAACACAAGTTATCTTAGCATTTTACACGGTGCGTTTGGGACCTATATTGGTATCAGAGCCAGGTTGTTATGGGAACCAGTAAAGAGCGTGTGAGCAGTTGGAGGCTGGGTTGGGGAAGTACAAGATGGGCTACACCAGATGGAGCTCGACTGGCGGACATGCTACGACATTTGGAAGAAACTTTAACCGTCTCTCTGATGTACCTTACAAACCAAGAGCCTCTAAACCAAGGTAACCCACACCGTGATGGCCACAATGGGGGACGGCTTGTTGTATCCTCCAAAATGGCAAAACTGGAGTTTCCTAGATTCTCCGGAGATGACCCGACGGAGTGGTTCAACCTGTGAACCAAATTTTTGAATTCCAGAATACTTCCAAAACCAGAAAGTTTGCTTAGCCTGCCATTTGAAAGGAGAGGCCAACCAAGATGGCAGTTGATCTACGAGAGTTCCAAGAAGAAGGACAAGCTCTCTCATGGGCAGATTTTGAAAACGAGCTCTGGGCAAGCTTTGGGCTGTCGGAGTGCGAGGATTTTAATGAAGCCCTTTCAGGATACGGCGGGATGGTTCATTGCGTGATTATCAGTCGGAATTCGAGCGCTTGGGCAATCACGTACGAGGTTGGACGCAAGAGCTCTTGTAGGAGCATTTATAGGTGGTTTAAAAACGGACATTTCGAATGGTATCCGAATGTTTATGCCTCAGACATTAAAGGAGGCTATTAGCTTAGCGCGAATGAAAGAGGATCAACTATCGAGATAGGGAACATGGTGTACATACTCCACCACCAATGAGAGCCCCTTAGCGCTTCCGCTAGCCGCACATGTGCTCCTGTTCGGCGACTGACGGGATGAAATGCACGGAGGCTATCAAGGCCCATGTTTTAATTGTAATGAGCATTTTACTGCAAGTCATCGATGTCAAGGGCCACGACTACTCATGCTGGAAGGACACGATGGCAACGAACATAATTTGTGAAGATGTCACCGGAGAGCAACAACTCAGGAGGGATGTGTCATTCGAAATCGACAATATGGTACTTTTGAAGTTACACCCATACCAGTAGCAAACAACCTTCAAACAGTCCAGTCCCCCAAAAATGGCTAAACGAAAAAGCTCCTGGAAATTTCCAATTTTGAACCTGAGGACAAGGATCCAATTGATGGAGGGAGAATTGATAGGCCACGACGTTGGGGAGTTGGGATGTGCATGCAACATAGATAGTAGACGGAGCTCCTGCGAAATGGACTGGGTCATGGTAGTTCGTGCAGAAGGAAATGCAGTTTACTCATTCGTAGTTGCAGTTCTACGTCATTTTATTTCAGTTTGTTATTGCTATGTTGTTACGCTCTATTTTATGTGTTTGAGTCTGTTTTAGTGTTTGAGTTCCAATTGCTAGTTCTTCATTTTTGGTTGTTTGTACCTGGCTGCTAAATAAGCAGCCA